TAGGAATCTGTCCATTTCTTCTGTGTCTTCTATTCTGTGAGAGTAAAGATTCTCAAAGTAGCTATTGATAATCTTCTGAATTTCCACTGAGTCTGTGGTATGACACCCTTTTCATTCCTTATTGAAATTCTCTGCTTTTAGGCAGAAAGCCTTTGCTTCATAGTCCCTACATCTTGAAAAGTATTTTAATACTTATATAGTCTTAAAATTATTACCTAAGACTTAATGATTACTTATTGATTGTTACTATTGTTTAGTAAAGATTTTTAAGCTTTAGTAATTAATTTCTAATAATTCTTGAATATCAGTTTATAGGTGTTTTGAGTTCAGCTTTTTTTAAGCCATCTAATCACTGGCAAATCCCTAGCTTTTAAGTATTAATTCGGACCTCTAGGGTGGGATAAAAAAGGAAAGGGTCCCTCATGACTGAAGCAAGACTTAAGGTTATATTCATATCTAAGGCTGTCAGAATTTTTAATAATGAATAGAGAAGAAGATTCCAGTGAGGAGTATTCCAAACGCGTTGGTCTGCTCTCTGTCCTGAGTCTTATAGCTTCCTAAAAGTATGGATCAACTATGATGAGATTACCAAGCTGAAAACTAATTCAAAGGCCACAAATGAAGAATAATTTTAGTTAGAAAGAACTAAATGGTAGTAAATTATATTTGAGTTGATGAATACTACATTAATGTTTGATGCTCAGCTGACAGAATTCTAACTACCTTCCTCCTTGAAGAACTCCAGGTAGCAATTGTTTACATTTATTGTTTTATTATAAAGGATATTACAAGTAATACCAGTGAACAGTAGGTGAAGAGATTGATAGGGCGAAGTATAGGGAAAGGGATGCAGAACTTCCATACCCTGTCTGGTCCCTCCAACCTCCACATAGTTGATGCCGTATCCTTTGTTTTTTATGGTGACTCTATTATACAGACATGATTGATTAGCCATTGGCCATTGATGATCAACTTAACCTTCAGTCCCTCTCTTCCCCCTAGAAGTTAGTAGGGGTGAGGAGAACTGAAAGTTCCAACCTTATAGTCTTGTCAGTGATCAGCCCACCTTTCCCCTTCCTGAAGCTACCTGGGGGCTGCCAGCCATCAGTATGTGTAGTATCTTCTCCAATCCTTTTCCTTTTAATTTGTGACAGCCTGTCCACTTGGTGTGGTTCCTTGACAACTGAGACTTATTCTCAGTTCAAACTGTGCAAGGCAAGGGCTGCTTGTGTTTTAATTCAGTTTCTTAGTATCAGACCTTACTCTTTTTCACCATATCTGCCTTTTAAGTGAGATAGATGTTTAGGCCATTTACATATATTTATTGATACGGTTGATTTTTGTCTCGTGTATTTTTGTTTTATCTTGGCTTCTTTTGTGTTAATCTGGATTTTTAAGACAGTACAAATACAACTTTGTCCCATTTTGTTTTGTTTGGTCTAGGGTTTGTTGTATGGAACTTAACTCATCACAGCATAATTTCAAATTATATTATTTACTTTATATGTACTATAATTAAAGAATTTTTCAGCAGTTTTGTGCTATTCTCTAGACTTTATTTCTAATTTCTACAGATGTTATAAATCCCAACTCACTGTAAATATTTTTTGCTTTAAATAGTCAATTATTTTTAAGTTCTTTTCAAATAAAGAAGATACATTTTGTGTTTCTCCACATATGCACTGTTTCTCTCACCCATCATTCCTTTGTGTTACTCCAAGTTCCATCTGGTATTTCCTTCCCTGGAGTCCCTTTCTGTAGCTCTTTGTGAGTCCCAATTCTTAGAAGTAATAGTTCCCTAGTTGAAAAATAATGGAATGCACAATATCCTAATTTGAAAAATACTAGAATTGCAAAATCGTTCATAGCTTTAAGTTACTAAGTAGCCAGCATTATGGTTCTGAGAATTACTATGGCTCTTTCTGTTATTTCTCAGAGTTTTGTTTTTTATGTTTTGTTTTTCGTCACACTTAGAAACTCCCATCAAGACTGAAGCAGACATTCTGGCAGAAAACCAGGTTATTCTGGCAGAAAACCAGATAAATAGCACTGCTCCTAAGAGTCCAAGACAAGATGTTAACACAACTGTTAGAAATTGCTCAAGAGCCAAGTGTAAAAACCAACAAAAAGATTTTAAAAAGACAAACCCTAAGAGGAAAAAAGATTATCACAATTATCAAACATTATTTGAACCAAGAACACACCATCCGTATCTCCTGGAAATGGTAAATGATTTTTCACTGTGCTATCTTGTTTGTATTTTTATGCCACTGGGGTTTTGTTGTTGTGTTTTTAGGTTACGAGAATCATACGCTCCTTGAAGACCTGTCTGTATCTCTTAATTCTAAACTGCATTTGGCTTACAGTTGTTGTTCAGTAAATGTGGAATAATTATACTTTTCAAAACTTCTTAATATTTAAAAAAGTATAAATGTCTGTTAAAAAACAGACTGATGAAGAGAAAATATTTAGAGTTTTCAAAGAGTTCTGATTTTCTATGCTTGGGGAGTGTCTTCACTTTTTTTTATATCTTTCTGTATATGTATTTTGTGCATTATTTGCTTAGCAGCATTGTGTGCTCAAAATCTGATCTTCAAGTAGTGAGGAGGAAGCAGTGTGTCCTAAGAAATGGAAATGAAGCCATTCGAAAATTATTTTCATGTCTAAGCCCAATAAAAAAATTCCATATTTTAATGAGGTTGTAAAAACTTGTCATTCTATGAAAAGCCTGTTTTTTACTTACCATCTAGGTAAGTGCTTATGCTGTGGCTAAACTATTCTGTAGCTATAGTATGAGATATTCCACCTAGAGTTGCCTCTTAAGATGGATCTGAAATATACTCCTTATCTTACAATATCAGTGGTATATATAGTAAATTGCATTTTTTAAATGTTTATCTTATTCATGATAAATGAACTTTTCACTGAAGTTGATTTTTCTGAGCTTTATTAATCATGTCAGAAAATAAATTCTTCTTGACAAATTACATATTTTTCCTTGGTTATGTACCTATCCTAAATACCAGGGGTTTTAGCTTTCTTTCAGTAAAATAAGCACAAAAGTGATGTTATGAAAATCAAAAAACGTTGAATTTTTTAAAAAAATCTGCCTTCAGTGTTTCTGTATTATAACTACCTACCACTTTCCATACCATGTATGGGATTTTATTATTGTTAATTATCTTTTTTTTTTTGAGAGAGAGAGAGAGAGAGCATTGCTCAAGCTTGTTCAGGGCTTGAGTGACCCTCCTGCTTCAGCATCCTGGGTGGATAAAACTGAGGTTGAGTCACTGGGCCTGCCTGGCTAAGGCATCCTCCTTGACTTACTTAAGCATTTTCTTGTCCTTTGCCAGATACTCCAGAAAAGACCCTAAATATGAATTATTGTGCCATTTTAAAAGCTAGATAGTGTTGGTATAAGTTAAAAGGAAAGGAAAATGTTTTAAGTTATTCTTAGCAAAATAAGTATGAAGCTCATTTCTTATTGTTCTCTATATGAGAAGACATACTTAATATTTTAGATTGTGTTTCCTAGGATAGGTGTTTTTAACCAGCTAATCTTTTTTAAAATTGATTTTTAGCTCCTAGCTCCGGACATTCGACATGAAAGAAACGTGATTTTGCAGTGTGTTAGGTACATCATCAAAAAAGACTTTTTTGGACTTAATACAAATTCTGGGAAAACTGAAGATGTATAATTGCCATCAGTTTCAGCATACAACGGAAAGATCAAAAAGCACCATCCTCAAGTTAGTGGAGGAAAATCAAAAACTATTTTTTTTTCTCAAAACTAGTAATTAAATTTTAAGTCTCTTAAAATAATTATGTTGGATTTTCAAGTCTTTTCTTTGATTCTGTGCAAATAAATACGTAGCTGGCTTTTTTAAAAGACTGTGTGTATTATTGGGATTGTATATAGTAGAATTTTTTTTTATTTGTATTCATTTTTACACATCGCTCTCAGGTAAGGAAGACTGTTGTTCCAGTTGAGAGTTGAAAGTATTGGTTTAGTAACAAAGAAACAGTTTTTAAATGCTTAATTCAGCTAAAAAAAATGAGACAGAGAAAGTTTTTTTTTTTTTTTTTTTTTTCAATGTATAAGATGAAGCTCTACTCTTTTTAAATGAACTGGATCTAATTAACCTAACCAGAATGATTGAAATTTAAATTTTTCTTGTTATACTAGCTCTATGAGCATAGTTCAGTTATTGAGTGTTTGAAATATAGATATGCCCCCTCTATGTTTAGCTTTAATTGGAGTGCTTTCTGAAAGTACAGTTCGTATCATTTTTTTCTATGAAAAACTGAAATAGTATATTTAATGAGAGTCAATTCATTTCTTGTAGCAGAAAATAGTTTATGAAATAATGTGAATAATTACCTATTTTAAGGTTTAGTTCAAATTTGTCTTATGAGGTAATTGAACCCTGGACATTAAAGTAAGGAAAGCTGCTGAGATTTTTTTGTCTCCTCTAATGCCAGGCAAGTTGATCTGTGTTGTAGTATTTTGCCACCTAGAGCTGTAGTTCTGCCTTTTTGACATATGGGTTTAGATTTATTAAAACCAGACTGTTTTAGTTGAAAAATTAGTTTTATCTGACATTGTGATTACTGAAGTTCGTTAATCTTGCCTGCAAGAAAAGTTGGCAGAGTTGACTGCAGATCTTTATGTTAGTACGGTTTTTCTCTAGAATCCCGGAATGCCTGGCATATAGCACTAGTAATGTCACAGACCTGGGATCAGGATTTGTATTTAAGACTAGGTGTGGTGGCACATGTGTAATCCCAGCTCTTGGGAGACTGTAAACAGGCAGATGACTACGAGTCCGATCTAGTAGTGAGATCCTGAACACCCTGTAGACCCTTCCCTAAAATACAAAAAAAAAAAAAAAAAAGATACGTATTTAGTCATTGTTTTCCAACCTTGTAATCACCTTTAATAACCTTTTACATGTTTCACTTTACTCCAGTGAGCTGCATATTTTGGCAGTTGTCTGTCCAGTGCATTAATTTAAAAAGTTTAGATAACACTGTTGATAGCATACTTTGTGCCTCTATTGTACCTGCATTAAAGGTATAAAAATAAAAGGTTTTGCCTGGTTTCAAGGAATTCAGTTCAATTTTTTTATATGTAGTGAAGTGTTACCCAAATCAATATATCTCATCAGGATGAAGTAACTCATGCTGCTCTTGAGTTTGTAATCTGATGCAATCTGTGGCTTTATCACTAGTTTTCATGCAGATCCCACAGGCTTTAAGTTTACAAGTGCATCCACGGATTCCTGGAATACTTTCATGGCCCACATCAGGAGTGGGCTTTAAGGTGCTTTGATGTATATTGTGTAAACAACTTATTCCCAAGATTTCTTGTTTTCTAATAAATGTATTTAAGACTGAAAATGCTTCTCAGAGTATTGCCTTGGCTGTGTCTGATAGTCTTTGTTAGGATTTTCAGTGCAGTAAGAGAGGCAGAAGAAGAAGAGAGGCCTTTATTGAGGACTCAGAGAGGACTGCAAGAAAATGGCAGGGATCTCCTGACTTGAGGCAAAGGGAGCTGGGCTGTATGCACTTCTTCTAGGGGCTGAGTTCGAGAGGGGCTTAGTGAGACATAAGGAATTGCATTCAGGGGTGAGAGGAAGAGACGGAGAAGTGATTGGGATATGAGCCATAATGGAGCACCACAGTGGTTCAGCAATTCACACTTGGGCCAGAACCTGTTGTTCCTATCTTAATTGTAATGAAGGAGTGATGACTCAGACTGCTTCCTGCTGAGTGGTGGCATCATTGTGGTGGCAGGGAGGATTCACAGGATGATAGTTCAAAGCCACATCGAAGCTAGTGCTGGGTGTTTCAGCCAGGACAAGAGGCTCATTTTTAGTGAGGGCCACATCCAGGATTGACGAGAACTTCAAAATTTAAAAAGGCAGGGTGCTATGAATAGCCAAGTGATTATCATGATTAAATGACCCAGAAAGGGAGGCAGGACAGGGCCCGTGATCTGAACGTGTCATTCCACCATGACCACGGTGAGGGGAAGAGTATTAGTTTCCTAGCTCTTGGTGTTTTCACCCTAGTGAGCATGAGCTCAAACAGGCTTAGGAAAGAGTGCCCTGGGAAGTGCCCCAAGTCTAGTTAGAGCTAAGGGAAGGAGCTGAGGCAAGGCAGGTGCACCTCTAGGACGAGTTTGGTGAAGTGGGCCTTTAAAATTCCATTGGCCTCTACTACTATAAATCCACTGACTGTGGCATATCTTGCCTGCTTTGAGTATCCATCTATGAACCATGTGTCCGAATAGGTGTAACTGCATTGTTAATAACCCTGAGATCTTGAACTAAAAGAAGCAATTAGGTTTGAGTATAGGAAGAATGGCAGTATTGTATGGCAAGTGGGCAGTTCTAAGAAAACCATTGATAAGGAGATACCAAAGTTTTGAGTCCCCATTGGTGTTCAGTGACTATTGGATGTTGGGAAGCACAAGGGAAGGCTGAGGGATTCCTGAGGCAAACTAGTACAGGGGTAGTGTGAGTGTTATGAGTGGGACTGAAAGTTTCCTAGAGTACAGGGTGGACAAGGAAGAGGCAGGGAGGAGCTGGTGGCTCATTGAGGTTGGGTTTGTAGGACAAGCACCATGGGAAGTGAGAAAGGTGAAAGAGAAGTGAAACTTTTGGCCATCCCGACCCTCAAGGGACATGGCACTTGTTGTTATTACTAAAAAATTATGAGTGAAAAAATGTTTGGAACCTGCAGGAGGTAGGTCCTGTTGATAGGGGCTTTGTAGGTTGGCTGTCAACTCCCACTATGGAAACTAGCTCTAATAGAGTGACCTGAAGACTCAGGAAGAACGCTGTATGTGGCCTGTGTCTACAAACAGCATCTTACCTGAGATGTCCAGTGAGACTTAGGGCTCCAGGACAAATATCATAATGGGAGCTGTGGGCCCTGACAAGCACTGAGGTGGTCAACTATGGATGGATCTGGCTGTGGCAAATTTTCCTGTGAGGGGAGTGAATTGGATGACTTGTTCTCTGGCAGACAAGGTAATTGCATTTCCAGTGGCCCTCAAGCTTGCAGGTGGGACATGATCCCTGTGGGGGCAGTGGGTTGAGACAGGCTCATACCCAGTGTCCTCCTTTGCTATATAGAAACATGGTCCAGGAGGCTTTGGATGGCACCAGATGGGAGCCTGGAGTGCTGCGGTCCAATGCTGGCACACGTGTAAAGTATGTTATTGTTTGACTTGTTTTAATTTTTTGTCTGTATTATTGAAGACATGGAAAGCCAGATTGAATATAAGTCTTCCCTGTGGGGTTTGAGGGTCTAGATGTGTCTTAAGCTTGGTGTGAATGTCAGGAGCAGATTGGGAAATAGAAGAGCGAGTTAACAAGGGTTATGCCCTCAGGTGACTGAGGGTCTGCCTTAGTACATGTAGTTAAGGCAACTGTGAGGCAAGAAAGGAACTCAGCTGGATTTTTATCAGGCTGCTGAGCAAATTTGTGGAACTTTTGATAAGTTGTGGCTTTGTGGGAAATATTTTTGAGATGTATTAACTGTGATTAGGGAAGACTGAGTGTAATTTTATGCATCTTGTACTTCTGGATGTTCAAGACTAAATTGAAGTGAGACCTGTGTTAATTAAAATTAATTTCTTGCTATCTATTAAGGGCAATTAGTCTCAGAATTTACCTTAGGACCAAATAGTGTTTCTCTTTTGTAATCTTGATCAGAAAATCAGGGGTTCCACTGAGTTATAGAATGTCATAGCAGAAGTTCTCTTATATCCTGGATCCTCATCGACTTTGGAGGGCGGGGCAAAAATATTGCTTATCCTCTTAGCCCATTTATCTTTTTAAGTTTTGATCTCTAAACCTCAGTACTTGAATATCTAGAAGAGAAGGCTAAAGACATTACGTTGTTGTTGTGGTTGTTTTTTAATCTATATTTATTTGGTACAGGGTTGCACTGCACAGCTAGAACTTATAGTGATCTCTTGTCTCAGCCTCCCCAGGGCTGGGATTACAGGCATGCACTACCACGCCCAGTTGCAGTGGCCAGCTCAGCCCTGCAGTACCGTGGATCGAACCTTGGTCCTTGCGCTTGCCAGGCAGATGCTTAGACTGCCAAGCTATCTCCCTGGCCAATGACATTACATTGTAGTGGGAGCAATACACTTAATTATTCAAATTTTGTCAGAGTATTAAGTACCTTGAAATGTAAAGTATAAAGAGAGAACTGTTACTATTTTTTTTTTTTTTTTTTTTAATGTGTTTGGTACAGGATCTCCCTATGCAGCTCGGACTCGTAGTGATCCTCCTTTTTCAGCTTCCCCAGTGCTGGGTGTTTGCCACCATGACTGATCTAGGTGGTTGGCTCAGCGTGCCAGCCCTGGTTCCTGCACTTGCCTAAGCAGGCACTTAGTCTGCTGAGCTATCTCTCTGGCCCTGAGGACTGTTATTTCTTACCAACCATCGATGTTCTAGTAGTTAAATGCCTGTAGAATGTTAACAGACAACAGTTATATAGTTTTACAGAGAAAATTTGACATCAAGAACCATACATAGTAGTGTAGCACAACAGGCGCGATGCTCTCTCCCCTTTGGCTAAGCAGCTCTAAACAGCGCATGCGCAGCATACACAGGACACATTTTTGTTAGAAAATTATGATTTGACTACTGACCTCATGTTGGTTTAACATGAACCTCTTATTACAAATATCTAGAGCATAAGAGGAAGACATGTTCTAATCTGAAAGAAAATATCACTATAAACAATCTCAGTTTTATGTTGTAGAATACTATACATTTGGAAGACATAAATACATTTAATACACCATGATATTAGCAATGACAAATTATCATTAATTTGGGTTTGTTTAGTTTT